GAAGTAACTCATGCTCTTTTGTTTCATATGCGTATGCCTAAACGGTTTTGGGGTGATGCTGTTCGTACTGCCTGTCATCTTATTAACCGTATGCCGTCATCTGTTTTAGATGGCAAATCTCCACATTCTATTTTATTTCCTGATTCTCCCTTGTTTTCTCTTCCTCCTAGGGTTTTTGGATGTGTATGTTATGTCCATAATCTTGGTCCTGGTTTTGATAAATTAGACCCACGTGCCACAAAGTGTGTTTTTCTTGGCTACTCTCGCTCTCATAAAGGTTATCGCTGCTATAGTCCTGTTTCTCAACGGTACTTTATTAGCGCAGATGTAATGTTTTCTGAGTCTATCCCATATTTTTCAGATACTGATTCACTTCTTGATATCACTCTTGTGTCGCCTCCTTCTGCCGTTCCTATTCCCTCACTCTCTCTTCAACCTCGATCTCTTGTTCCTTTATTTGCCCCGTTACAGGTGTACACTCGAAGACCAAAGCCATCTGTTGTCATGCCTCCTCCATCGTCTTCCGAGTCTTTGGATCCGACGCCTTCCACTGTGTTTGATTCCTTGCCTATTGCACTTCGTAAAGCTCCTCGCTCATGTGTTACTCACCATCCTATTGCTCATTATGTCTCTTATAATTCCTTATCGCCATCATTCTCCTGTTTTTCCTTTAAGTTGTCTACTACATTCGTTCCTAAGACTGTGCAGGATGCGTTGTCTGATTTGGGCTGGAGGAACGCAATGCAAGATGAAATGGATGCTTTGCATAAGAATGGCATGTGGGATCTTGTTCCATTACCTCCGGATGTCACACCTGTTGGTTATTGCTGGGTATATACTGTGAAGTATCTTCCAGATGGGTCTGTTGAGCGTTTAAAAGCACGTCTTGTTGCCAAAGGTTATACCCAAACTTATGGTATTGACTATGACGCGACATTTTCTCCCGTTGCTAAGATTTCTTCTATTCGTGTTTTGATTTCTCTTGCTGCTAATAGACATTGGCCTCTGTTTCAGTTAGACGTTAAAAATGCCTTTTTGCATGGTGACTTAGCAGAAGAGGTTTATATGGAGCAATCACCTGGGTTTGTTGCTCATGGGGAGTATCTTCACACTGTTTGTCACCTTAAAAAGGCCCTGTATGGATTGAAACAATCTCCACGGGCTTGGTTTGGAAAATTCTCTGAGGTGGCGTTAAAATTTGGTCTTAAGAGATGTCAGACCGACCATTTGGTGTTTCACCGGCGCATTAAAGCTGGCTTCATATTTCTTATGGTGTATGTAGATGATATTGTGATCACAGGTGATGATTTTGAAGGCATTGCTAAGTTGAAGTTGTTTCTGCAATATTAATTCCACACTAAAAACTTGGGTAAACTTGGGTATTTCTTGGGCATTGAAGTTGCTAGATCTAAGAACGGTATAAGTTTATCCCAACGCAAATATGTGTTGGATTTATTAGAAGAAACAGATATGTTGTGTGGTCGTCCGGTTGATACTCCTATGGATTCAAATACAAAACTTGTATTTGATGAGGGCGATCTATTTAATGACCCGGGCAGGTTTCGCTGCCTTGTTGGGAAATTAATTTATCTCACTATCACTCGACCTGATATTTCATATGCAGTTAGTGTTGTGAGTCAGTTCATGGGAGTTCCTAGAATGCCACATTGGATTGCTGTTCTTCGGATTATACGATATCTCAAGAAAGCTCCAGGTTTAGGGTTACTATATAAATCAAATGGTTATCTCAGGGTGGAAGGTTTTACAGATGCTGACTGGGCTGGTTCTCCTTCAGATAGGAGATCTACTACAGGCTATTGCACATTTGTAGGAGGAAATCTTGTTACATGGCGAAGTAAAAAGCATACGGTAGTAGCTCGATCTAGTGCTGAAGCTGAATATAGGGCAATGGCCTATACCACTAGTGAGTTGATATGGATACAACATTTTCTAAAAGAACTTGGGTTGATAGTTGAGGCTCCTACTCAATTGTTCTGTGATAATCAAGCAACAGTTCACATTGCATCAAATCCTGTGTTTCATGAGAGGACCAAACATATCGAAGTTGATTGTCACTTCATTCGGGAAAAAATATTAAGTGGGAGCATCTCTACTCCATTTGTGAAGTCTGAAAATCAATTAGCTGATATGTTTACCAAAGCATTGGGTCATAATCGGTTAAGAACTATTTTGTTCCAAGCTGGGATTATTTGATATATATTCTCTAGCTTGAGGGGGAGTGTTAGAATGTTTTATATATATATATATATATACATATATAAGTGTTGGGCCATTATGTAATTACAGAAAGTTGATAGGGGCCCTTGTGTAGTTAAGTAAGACTTGTACTCTTTATATAAGCCTTGTACACTTTATTAGGTTAGAAGATGATGAATATACAAGTCTGAAACTTCTCTCTCTCTCATATATATTACTCTGAACAAAACCCAAGAAATCCAATGCATACTTCCTTAACACCTGCAATAAAAATTTCCATGAGACTAAGTCATATACTTTCTTGAGATCCACGTTCATTGCCATTGAAGCATGTCTTGCAGAATTAAAGTCTCTAATCAACTCATGGGCCATTACTAAGGCATGTTGAATGTTTCTGTCTTTAACAAAGGCACATTGTTTAACCCCCACTAGATTAGGAAGCACTTTAGACAACGTATTGTTCATAATTTTGGTAATTATCTTGTACAACACATTACAAAGTGCAATAGGTCGAAATTCCCCAAGCTTCATTGCATTCCCAACCTTAGGGTATAAGAGCAATGAAAGAGCTACTCACCCCAATTGGCATGGTACTGGTTCGAAAAAAATGTTGAACTGCTGATACTAGGTCTTTATTAATACTAGATCAAAAGGTTTGAAAAAACCTTGCAGGGAACCCATCAGGCCCAGGGGATTTGTCTGGATTAAACCTCATAACCACATCCTTCACTTCCTCATAGCCAACTTCCCTATCAAGCATGAGAGCATCCATCTCTTGAAGTTGATGTCTAGGACTAATAGCACACACAACAACATCTCTTTTAGAAAACAGATTGGTGTAATAATCCACAAACCATTCTCTAATGACTTTTAAATCAGTTGTTGTATCCCCATTATCATTCTCCACACTAGTAATGGCATTAAAATTTCTGTTTTGCTTCAGCTTGTGATAAAAATAGGCTGCACATCTATCATTATCCTTCAACCATCGAACTCTGGATTACTGAGCAAATAGAATTTCTTGATCACTGAGGGCAGCCTGAAGAGTTTCTCTAGCCCTCTGCTCTGAATCAAACATGGAACCCCTAGTATCAGCTAGAAGACCCAACTGATCATCCTCCAATTGCTTCCTAGCTTCAATAACCTTCTGTCTTACATCACCATAGCAATTCTTATTCCATTCTTTGATGGCAGATTTGGCATTCCTGAGCTTCTTAAGTATTATGTGGAAAGGACTACCACCCACCTCACTCTCCCAGGCTTTCTCAACCAAAGGATACATTGCATCTTGTATACACCACGCCTTAAGCATCTTAAAGGGTTTTGGACCAGAGGCAAAATCCTTGGAAATATGAACCAGAAGACCATAGTGGTCAGAGCACTTAGCAGAGCTATAAGAGACCTTAGTACCAGGCAATTGATCTAACCACATGTCATTGATAAAGACCCTGTCTAACTTTAACAAAAATTCTTCTAGAGGCCCTCTGTCTATTACACCAGGACCAGTCCCCATTGGAAGCAAACAACTCCATCAAGCCAGCAGTTTGAATACAATTGATTGAATTCATCAAGCAGGTTTTGAGGAACTCTGCCACCCCCCCTTTTATCACCATAAAAGCAAATAGCATTCCAATCCCCAAGGTCAATCCAAGGACCATTAGCAATAGTAGAGTAATGTACAAGCTGCTCCCAAAGCTCTTGTCTTTCTTTTCTAGTATTTGCAGCATCACTGGAGAGCACCAGAATTGCTCCCCAGTTTTAAGCAGCATGCTTTGTCCAGTGTCATGAACAGCAGTCACAGAGAACACCAAGGGATTCCATCCCACCCAAATCCTACCATAAGCATGAGAAGAATAGTTATTTAACCAACACCAATTACGCCGAATCTTCTTTGAGATGACATCAAACAAACTTAGGCGAACTTTAGTTTCTACTAAACAAACAAACTGAGAAGCCGTGGACACCCAAAAAAAAAAAAACTAATTTTTTCTAACCTGATAAAAAATCTCTCTAATAGAAGGAAAATTGGCTTCTCTTAGTTGAAAGGTGCAAAAATGAAGTGGGTTCAACTAAACACAATAAAAAGTAGTACTTGATCGTCTCATACCAATGGTGCAACCCGTTGTTCCATTGGTGGGGGACTACTTGGACGATCTCTTTTTTCTTCTTTTCTTACTTTAAGGTGCTGTCTAGGAATATGGCCGAACACGTTTCCAACATGGCTAAAAGTATCTTGTAATTTGAGTTTTTTCTTTTCTTTGTTGGACACGGCATGGACACGATGGACACGTCTGTGACACTTTCGGGACATGATGGGATAGGTCTGCAATTATATATGTTCTTTGAAAAACATATTATGGGTAGGTTTAGGAAAAAAAAAAAAACAATATCTATCCAGCTCTAAGCTTTAAATTAGTGATTACATTCAATCATTCATGATAATTTGGAAAAAAAAAAAAGCAAAAATATGTTTTGCATATATAATAATACATTATATTAGTTTTTTTTTTTTACGTATCTGTGCTGTGTTTTTGTCTCTCTCTCTTTTTATTTATTATATTAAATTTGTTGTATCGGTGTGTCCGTATTGTGTTGTACCTATGTCCTTGTCCATATCTGTGATTCTTAGGGTGTTGTTACCCATTGAAGTGTCTTTTGATGTTATTTGTGTAATTGCTATTATTAACTTTCTTGTTTATTAGATCTTATAACTACATGCAACTTGGTGGTGCTTATTCGCATTTATGAATATAACATTATCTAATGCAATATAATCACTTCAGATAGAGAGGTGGACCAAACAATATATTTCTTCAACTGGTGAGGGCAAGTCGGAGAGAAATCCGAAGATGTTACAGCTGGTTGACTGGCTACGGAAACATATTCCTCTTGAAGATTCCTCAAGAGCAGCTGCAGGCCTAGTTCATGGCGACTTTCGAATTGATAATCTTGTATTCCATCCCATTGAGGTGTGGTACTTCAAAAACTTTGAACATATTGAAAGCAAAAACTCAAGTCAATTTAGTTATTGGAATACTCATATTATTCATTGAGTGGACAATTTGCTTGTATGAATCATGAACTTGTGAATTTAAATTTTTAAGAAAATAGGATGTCAAGTTGTTTTGTTCTAGAGTTGGTTCCTAATGTGGTTTAAATCTCTACATATTTACTGCTTTACGTAAATTCCATCTAATTACTTGTTTATGCTGCAGGATAAAGTAATTGGCATTCTTGACTGGGAGTTATCCACCCTTGGGAACCAAATGTGCGATGTTGCATATAGCTGCTTGGTAATTAATTCATTTTGCAATCCTCAAAATTTTCTATGGAAGATGCTCTTGCGATTTGTTTAATGTAACTGCAAAGGTTCTTTTATCCTCATTAGTTTTGGAATTATTTTTATTGATTTGTTTAAACTAACTGTGAAATTCCCTATTAAATCACTTGATACTTAAAATTTTGTTAGAAAACAAGTGTAGAAGCTCGACAACTGACATTTTTGAGATAATTGATGTAATTTTTTTTTTTTCTTTTCTCAACAGCATTATGTTGTGAATTTCGGGCTTGATAACATACAACAGGATGAAGGTTTGGAAGTTACTGGTATTCCTGAAGGACTTCCTTCAGTGGCAGAATACGTGGCAGAATACTGCTCTGCGGCTGTAAGATCTATATTGCCAACTAAAATTTGGTAGTTCTCATGTACAATAATTAACAAATGCAAATGATCTTATATATAAAAAAGGATAAAATAGGTGCTCAGTAAAGCATTGAGCTTCTATGGTGCATACATTTCTCCAACGGAAATAGTTATCCATTTGATTAAATTTTTTTTTGATAAGTAAAATATATTAGAAAAGCATTCAAAAGGGGAACGCGTCCCTAATACACAAAAACGAAAAACCTAAGGACCAACAGAGTCCAACAGATCGAACAAATCATCAATCGAGGAGCAAGCGCTGCCTCTTACATAACAGAAAAGAGAACGAAGAATATGAGATTTTAAGTTTGCAAGAGATGATTCCTTTCCTTCAAACCACCAAACACAGTGTGGGACGATCCTCCAAAAATCACGAGCATGACCTTTAACAGGGCATCTTCTCTGTGCGTTGATTAATTGAATAGAGTGCTTAGGCATTACCCACTGAATGCCAAAAATACTGAATATGGGATTCCAACAATCATACGCGACAATGCATAAGAATGTGATCTACGGACTCACCGTCTGTTTTACATAAGCAACACCAGTTAACAATGGTATTGCCTCTCCTTCGCAAATTATCAAATGTCAAAACCTTTCCCTAGGTAGCAGTCCAAACAAAGAATGTGACTCTAAGAGGAGCTTTAGAGTGCCAAAAAGACTTCCATCGGAATTCTTGGCCAGCGAAATTAGACAAACACAAGAACATGGATCTTACTCCATATCTACCATGAGTGGAGGGGATCCGCAAAATATCATCACAACCTCTGCCAACATCCTTCTGTCTAATACAACAAGTCCAAAAAAATGCATGCTTCTGCCATCTCTCAATCTTGAAAAGAACGCCTAAAACGCATATCCCACATAACCCCACTGCTATCGAGTTGATAACAGTCCACTACGTAAGCATGCTTATTCTCAGCAATACTGAAGAGATGAGGAAGGTATAGAGGCAACAACTGATCACCACACCATAAATCTTCCCAAAATCGAACATACCTACCATTACGAACCTTGAATCTAATATGGGTGGAAAACACATCCCAACCCTTTCGAATGAATTTCCAAACGCCAACGCCTCCCGTGACAGAAACAGGATGAGAGGAAAACCCCCACTTTCCTCCCCAAAACGACACGAGACAACTCTTCTCCACTGTTGATGACGCTCTTTACCGAACCTCTATAACCACTTCCCCAATAAAACTCTATTGAAAGGGACCAGCTTTCGAATGCCTAAACCGCCTAATTTCAAAGGTTTGCAAACTTGCTCCCAATTAACAAGATGGTACTTGAACTCCTCTCCTCTTCCACCCCAAAGAAAGTCTCTCTGAATTTTTTCGATTCGTTCAGCAATAGAGCACGGGATTTGAAACAGAGATAAGAAATAGGTAGGAAGGGATGAGAGGGTACTCTTAATAAGAGTGACCTTCCCCCCCTTTGCCAATCTTTTTTCATACCTGTTAATCACCGGATCCCAACTCCCCACTCTCCTGGAGGAAACTCCCAAAGGCAATCCCAGATAAGGAGGTGGAAAAACACTAACTCCACACCCAAGAACTGCAGCTAAGGAGGAAATATCTGGAACATCCCCCACTGGGACAAGCACACTCTTTCCAACATTGATTTTAAGTCCGGACACCGCTTGGAAACAAGCGAAAATGCACCTTAAGTATCTGAGTTGGGACATCCCCCACACCGCTTGGAAACGAGCAAGAATGCACCTCAACTATTTGAGTTGGGAGACATCAGCATCACAAAAAACCAAGGTTTCGTCCGCAAACAACAAATGGGATATCTTAATTTGATGAGCAACATCTCTACCGACTATGAACCCCCTTATGTAACCCAGTTCCTCCTCTCTTTTCATTAATCTGCTCAATCCCTCCATAACAATAAGGAATAAAAAAGACGATAAGGGATCTCCTTGTCTTAAACCGCGCGAAATCGGGAAAAAACCAGCAGGAGATCCGTTCACAAGCACAGAGAACATAACGGACGAGATGCAAGATTCAATCCATTTTATCCACCTATCTCTGAACCCCATCGTCCGAAGCAAGTAAAGAAGAAACTTCCAATTAATGTGATCATAGGCTTTCTCGATGTTAAGTTTGCATAAGACGCCAGGAACTCCACTCTTCAATCTAGAGTTAACACATTCCCTTGCGATAAGAACGGAATCCAAAATATGTCGTCCTCCAACAAAAGCATTTTGTGACACTGAAATAATTCCATGCAAAACATTTTGCATCCTAAAAGCAAGGACCGTGGCAATAAGCTTATACATACCTCCCACTAAGCTGATTGGCCTAAAGTCCTTAATATCAGAGGCGTCGCCCTTCTTAGGAATAAGGGCCATGAAAGACGCGTTCAATGATTTCTCAAATGTGCCATGAGAATGAAAATCCTGAAAGGTGCCCGTCACCTCACTACGCACCACCTCCCAGCTCTCCTTAAGAAACTGCATAGTGAATCTATCTGGCCTGGAGCTTTATCACCATTACAACTTGATAATAATAATTATTTTATGTATTGTCATTCTATTAGTGGTTCTGAAAGTGAACTCTGGCTGCTATAATCAAAATATTTTATTTAAAGAATACATATGAATGTGATGAGGGTTAACTCTATTCGTCTTTAATTAAGACTGAAGGGATCTACCCCCCTGAATGTGTAGTTACTGACATGTGATTGGTGTCCATCTTAATGTTCTAATATTTGTCACCTAGCATACTTCCACTTACTACTGTTTATCTTACTGGAACTGCAATGTAGGGAAAACCATGGCCTGTTGATGAGTGGAAGTTCTATATTGCCTTTTCCTTGTTTCGTGGGGCATCAATCTATGCAGGAGTACATAGTAGATGGATTATGGTATATTAAACCGTCAAATCCAATCTGTTGATTTTGATAATTTGAAATTACATTGCCAATTTGGTACTTCATATATGATTTTATTCACCATAACTCTGCAGGGTAATGCTTCAGGAGGTGAGCGTGCACAACAAACAGGAAGAAAAGCTAATGTACTCATAGATGCTGCATGGTCATATATTCAACGAAAATCTGTGCTTCCTCAACGTCCTCCATCTGGTAGCTTTATCCTTAAACAATTTAATTGATGTTGTAGTATATTTATTTCTTATTATTATTTTTTGCCCTATTTGATACTCACACACACCCCCTCAAGGAATTGTTTGCACCTAAGAGATTTGAACCTTAGACCTGATGCTTCCTGAGGCACCATGGTCAAGTTCTTACCCACTTGAGCCAACCCTTTGGGGTTGTGTATTTATTTCCCAATTCCCGTAATAGAAATAGTAAGATTAGTAGATTGATGAGGTGTTAACTTTATGAAATTTCCTACCTTTTAGGAGAATTGCATAATGGAGAAATAATATATCTTATTTTATAGTCGAATCTAAGTATCGGTGCACTTGGAGAAAGAGGAACAACAATACTATTACACGCCAGTACTAATGGTACAATCCTACTACTGATAAAGTAATAAGCTGATTAATACCATTCCTAACACTAATAGGGTAGAACTAACGTCTCTGGGGAAGATTAAGTCATCTCAACATGCGAAGCGTTTAAAATACTACTATTATATAAACCATAAAGCCTGTTAAAGTAAATTACATCACAATAGTAATTAAGCGAGAACAAATACAAATGATTAGAACTCACAATTTTATTGCTAAAAACTTTTACACATTACAAGGCAAAACAAAGCACTTGTCAACCAATATTCATTATTCCACTCTTATTTCTACAAGATACTTTTAAACTAGTCTACACACACACACACACACACACACACACACACATATTCATATATATTTGTAGTTATATATACTGGGATGTTGTGGCCTGAATTTGGTTTCGAGTCGGGTTGCAACCTGCTTTTAACCCGACGACCCTATGATTGAGTTTTTCCGCTTGCGGGTTGTGGACCCTGTTTAGTACTCTCTTGTAGCCCGGTACATAAGGACGCTTAGGGTTTGGAGTGGGTAGAGAGAGAGCACTGAAAATTGCAGAGAAAGAGAATGGGAGCGAGAGCTAGGGTTTGGGGGCCTGAAACTTGTAATCTCTTGTTTTTCTTGCCATTCATTTGGTTAATTTTTTTTTTTTTACGCAAAACCAATGCCTAGTGTGCTGTTTCCTCCTCAACTATTCAGATGCAATAGAACAAGTTTACTCACAACAATTTGGAAATGGGAGCAAAGATCAAGGCCTTCCAAAGGAAAGGGGGAAATTTGTTCCTAGTAATAAGGTTTTGGAATTGAGAAAGAGATTGATTAAATTTATGGAAGATCACATATACCCCATGGAAAATGAATTCTCCAAACTCGCTCAATCTACCCTACGTTGGACAGTTCACCCAGAGGAGGAGAAGTTGAAGGAGCTAGCGAAAAGAGAAGGCTTGTGGAATTTATTTATTCCTGTATGTATCTGGTTCTTCTTCCATTCCATCTTTTTCCATTCCTTATTTTTGTCTTCCTCTTTAAAAAGCAAGTTTTAAGCTATTATATTAAGTTTGTGGAATATAATATATTGGCATTGAACATAATGAATCACGCTTCAATTTTTGCATGCAGTTAGATAGCGCTGCCAGGGCAAGAAAACTAATTTTTGATGGGAGAAATGAACTTATTGACAATTCAAACAATTGCTTATTGGGAGTTGGCCTCTCAAACCTTGAATATGGGTACCTTTGTGAGATCATGGGTCGTTCTGTTTGGGCTCCGCAGGTGTTTAATTGTGGGGCGCCTGATACTGGAAATACGGAGGTAAGAATGAACTTCAAATTCATTAGCATTCAGGAACAAATACATCAATGCAATTGCCACATTGGCTTTCCATTGTCTCTGAATGTACACTGCGTCCAAAAAAAATTATTGTATGAGATTTGCTCCAAAAGTTCCGAACAGGAAGGTAAAGGAAATGATGTTATTCATTCACGCGACCATTAAGAGATGATTTATTGATACATATAAAAAGCTTCCAGTGGTCCAGCTTGCTTAGTCATCAGTTTTCTAATTTGTGGAAAGGATTGAATTTTGTGCCTGGTAGTGTACAATATATTTGTGTATATTCACTATCTTTGTCCATGTGCATGCTTTATCAGATCTGGTCATTAAGCTTACTTTTTCATTTTAGGTATTATTGCGCTATGGCAACAAAGAGCAACTACAAGAATGGCTTGTTCCCTTGCTTGAGGGTAAGATACGGTCTGGATTTGCAATGACAGAACCACAGGTTGCATCTTCTGATGCAACTAATATTGAGTGCTCTATTAGGAGGTAATTCCATGCAACAACTCTGAAATTATGAACCTATAATATATAATTGTAGCCGCGGTTGAACACTATTTTATGGGATGCTGGCATCCTTCCTACAACTTTGTTCCGACCTTAAAAGAGGAAAAAGATCATGGTTGATAAGGCATTGATTTGCCCATAAATGAAAATGATGACGTTTTCAACATGGCGTCAGCTTTAATTATTTTGTGAAGTTTGATGATGAGTCAACTGGTTGCATCTGTATGGTCATAGTGATGTAGGACTTGAGGAGCAGCCTCAAATAACTAAAAATTGAAAAGTTCAAAGGTTGAAAATTCAAATAATCAGGTCTAGAGTTTGAGGTTTTTATTTTTAATTATTTTTATCCTTGTTTTATTTATGTATTATTATTATTTTTATTTTTATCAAAAAAAAAAAGCTAAAAAAAAAAAAAATGGAATGAGAGCAGCTAATTGGAGTCACACCAACAGGTCTAGGCATCGCACCTATCGAAGGTATCGCACCCTCACAATTTGTGAATCACTCACAAGGGTTTTTCATAAGATATTGATTATTTATTTTTCACTGATTCAACTAAGATTACACTTCATCCCTTTATAGGATTTCCACTCTTGCCTCTTAGACATGGACATGACTTTTAGCCGCCTAATAATTGAGGTAATAAAAAAGAATCACAATTATTCAATTTCTTAACTCATAACTTTGTAACATAAATAAAAACCAGCTGAATTGCATCATAATGCCCCACCAAGCTCATAAATGATGCAACTTGACCAAAACCCACAATTATTCAAGATTCCAAGTGGAACCCACATCATATATCATATACCAAACTAAGGCTTGAGCCTTAGAACCCGTCTTTCCACACGTGGAAGGCAGCTGCCACTGATCTCCATCACATAGACTTGTACAAATTTCTCAAGGTACTTGTTTCAATGTTATTTAGGGTGTGAGCAAATAATAATAAGCATCAGAAATTTCTAGAAGGGTATGCACCAACACCTCAAGCACTATTTAAACACATGGGAAATATAATTGGGCACCTATCCCTTGTATGGTAATTATCTAAGTTTTGCACTAAACTCTTCGCATGTTAGATTTTGGAGTACTAGATTGAACTCTTGGAACTGAAGACATTGGATGGTGTTACCTTAGGAAAGACTGGAACCCAAGACATTAGGTGGTTCTAAGAAGCATGACACTTCTATGAAGGTGCCGTATCTAACACCGTGTCAGACACCGACACTTCATGGACACTCCTAGACACGTTTTCGACACTTCATGGCCGTGTCCATAATTTAAATTTTTTATTATTATTTCTGATACTTCATCGGCAAATCTTAGACACTTGGCCAACACATCCTGGACACTTGGGTCAACACATGCCAGACACAAGACAATCTTAAAAACAACATTATACACATACATCAAAGTGTCCAACCTCCTTTCAGTAAACAATTTACATGAAACACATGTCAAATATGTAATTAAAAAATATAACTTTAATCGCAAGATAAGATAATAATATTATATATAATATAATATATTCTTTTTGTTATTTGAATAGCTTCAATTCTAGCCTATGTAACTGTTAATATAGGAATTATAAATTAATTAATGTTCTATTGTTTTTTTTTTTTGATAAGTAAAGTAGTATAGAAAGCAATCAAAAGGGGAATGCATCCCAAGAATACACAGGCCAAAGCTAAAGCCAAAAAAGGGATCCTAAGGACCCAAAGAGGCTAGAAAGTCATCAATCTCCTCTATAGATGTTCAATATCTGCCCATACCCCAACAAAAAATGAAACTAATAATATGAAATTTCAAATTCCTAAGGGAGACTCCTCTCCGTCAAAAGATCTGTTATTTCTCTCCTTCCAAATGCACGACCACGTGTCAGTGTATTCGTGTCGTATCGTGTCTGTGTCCGTGTCCCTGCTTTCTTAGGACTGTGGTCATTACATAGTGTTGGTGCCCCCACATGGGATGCCGGAGGGGGAACTCTGGGTACAAAGTGGCTGTTCTCAGACTTAAATGGATACGGTCTTTTACTAGTGCATCAATAATGGCTCCTTAAGACATTGTTCCTGTTCAAAATCTTATGAGAGAGAGAGAGAGAGAGAGAGAGAGAGAGATCAACCATTTCTTGTACTTCAACACATAGTAAACCTAATAAGCCTATGTAGGCTTATATGAAGAGTACAAGTCTTACTTAATAACACAAGGGCCCTATCAACTATATGTAATTACATATGTGTGTATATATATATATATATATATATATATATATAACATTCTAACACTCCCCCTCAAGCTGGAGAATATATATTAAATAATCCCAGCTTGGAACAGATAGTTCTTAACCGGTTATGACCCAATGCTTTGGTAAACATATCAGCTAATTGATTTTCAGACTTCACGAATGGAGTAGAGATGCTCCCATGTAATATTTTTTCCCGAATGAAGTAACAATCAACTTCAATATGTTTGGTCCTCTCATGAAACACATGATTTGATGCAATGTGAAGTGCTGCTTGATTATCACAGAACAATGGAGTAGGAGCTTCAACTGTCAACCCAAGTTCTTTTAGAAAATTTTGTATCCATGTCAACTCACTAGTGTTATGGGCCATTGCCCTATACTCAGCTTCAGCACTAGATCGAGCTACTACCGTTTGCTTTTTACTTCGCCATGTAATAAGATTTCCTCTTACAAATGTACAGTAGCCTGTAGTTGATCTCCTATCTGCAGGAGAACCAGCCCAGTCAGCATCTGTAAAACCTTCCACCCTGAGATGACCATTTGATTTATATAGTAACCCCAACCCTAGAGCTTGCTTGAGATATCGGATAATCCGAAGAACAACAATCCAATGTGGCATTCTAGGGGCTCCCATGAACTGACTTACAACACTAACTGCATATGAAATATCAGGTCGAGTGATAGTGAGATAAATTAATTTCCCAACAAGGCGACGAAATCTGCCTGGGTCATTAAATAAATCACCCTCATCAGACACAAGTTTTGTATTTGAAACCGGACGACCACCCAACATACCTGTTTCTTCTAATAAGTTTAACACATATTTTCATTGGGATAAACTTATACCCTTATTGGATCTAGCAATTTCAATACCCAAGAAATACCTAAGTTTACCCAAGTGTTTAGTGTGGAATCGATATTGTAGAAACAACTTCAACTTAGCAATGCCTTCAGAATCATCACTTGTGATCACAATATCATTTACATACACCACAAGAAATATGAAGCCAGCCTTAGTGCGCTGGTGAAACACCGAATGGTTGGTCTGACATCTGTTAAGACCAAATTTTAATGCCACCTTAGAGAATTTTTCAAACCAAGCCCGTGGAGATTGTTTCAATCCATACAGGGCGACAAACAGTGTGAAGATACTCCCCCTGAGCAACAAACCCAAGTGGTTGCTCTATATAAACCTCTTCTGCTAAGTCACCGTGCAAAAAAGCATTTTTAACGTCTAACTGAAATAGAGGCCAATTTCTATTAGCAGCAAGAGAAATCAAAACACGAATAGAAGAAATCTTAGCAACGGGGGCAAACGTCTCATCGTAGTCAATACCATAAGTCTGGGTATAACCTTTGGCAACAAGACTTGCTTTTAAATGCTTAATGGACCCATTTGGAAGATACTTCACAGTATATACCCAGCAATAACCAACAGGTTTGGCACCTGGAGGTAATGGAACAAGATTCCATGTGCCATTCTGATGCAAAGCATCCATTTCATCTTGCATTGCTTTCCTCTAGCCCGGGTCAAACAAAGCATCCTGCACAGTCTTAGGAACAAATGTAGTAGACAATTGAGAGGAAAAACATGAGAAGGATGCGATAAGGAATTATAAGAGACATATTGAGTAATGGGACGATTAGTGACACACAAGCGAGTACCTTTACGAAGTGCAATAGGCAAGGAATCTGTTGGATCCAAGGACTTTGAAGACGATGGAGAAGGCACGACAGCAGGTGGCTTTGGTCTTCGAGTGTACACCTGTAATGGGGCAGGCGAAGGAACTAGAGATCTAGGTTGAAGAGAAGGTGAGGGAAGAGGAACTGCAGAAAGAGGCGACTTAAGAGTGATATCAAGAAGTGAATTAGTATTTGAAAAATATGGGATGGACTCACAAAAGGTTACATCCGCGCTAATAAAGTACCGTTGAGAAACAGGACTATAGTAGCGATAACCTTTATGAGAACGAGAGTAGCCAAGAAATACACACTTTGTGGCATGTGGGTTTAGTTTATCAAAACTAGGACCAAGATTGTGGACATAACATACACATCCAAAAACTCTAGGAGTAAGAGAAAACAAGGGAGAATCAGGAAATAAAATAGAATGTGGAGATTTGCCATCTAATACAGATGATGGCATACGGTTAATAAGATGACAGGCAGTAAGAACAACATCACCCCAAAACCGTTTAGGCACACGCATATGAAACAAAAGATCACGAGTTACTTCTAAGAGATGTCGATTCTTACGTTCTGCAACTCTATTTTGTTGAGGAGTATAAACACATGAATTTTGATGAATAATTCCTTTATCACTAAGATATGTATCAAAGGGAGTTGAAGAATATTCTTTAGCATTATCAGAACGTAGAATACGAATTGACATCCAAACTGAGTTTTGATTTCTTTTTGAAATTTTTGAAAAATTAAAAATAATTCAGAACAATCTTTCATTAGAAACAACCAAGTCAGGCGAGAATAATCATCCACAAATGTCACAAAATAATGAAATTTATTTATTAAAGAATGCTTTATTGGACCCCATACATTTGAATGAACCAAATGAAAAGGACTAGAGACACGATTATTAAACCTAGACTTGAAAGACACGCGATGATGCTTACTAAGTTGACAAACTTCACATGATAAGAATTTTAAATGACTAAGACTAGGAACTTGACGCTGCAAAACTTGAAGTGACGGGTGACCAAGACGACAGTGCCACTGGAAT